CTACTGTTTATAAATTCAAGTCTCTACTCAAAGATCACTTACTCACCCAAAACCAAATAAATACTGAATAACTGAACCTTATAAATTGTATATCTTAAATGTTTCTCACAATTATATCACATAAATGTTAAACCTAAAACCCAATCTAACTTTATTATTTTTTAAATACACTACCTAACAGAATCCTTCATATGACCTGTCTTTGTAATACTCACTTGTGCTTTATAGTAATCTGTTTACATTAATGTTTTATCACTGACTTCATCATTGCTTAGTTAATCTTAAGTTAATTTTAAGCCAGCCCGTAATGCTATGCATAGTATAAGTGGCTTTGGCATACTGCTCTTATCTGTATTTTTTTTGTACCTCTGTATGTGTGCACAAATTTATAATAAATAAATAAATAATAAATAAGTATATGTGGCAGAGTGTCTGATAGTGGAGGGTGTGGGTGGAAAATATTCTTCCATATATTCTTGAAGATGTTTGTTGCTGTTTGTGGGTCGGTGATGTTTCTGTTGTCGTGGGTGATGTGTTCGAATTTGTTGTTGTTGTTGTTACCTCGGATTCTATTAATGAAGTTCCAGAAAGTTTTGGGGTCTTTTATGCGTTGCTCATTTGCCTGGTGTATAAGCCCTGCCCAATGGGTGTTGTGGTCCTGCTCTAGGCTATGAAGTATGTTGTTCCTGAGGTATGTGAGGTCCTGTCTTACCTGGTTGAATCTGTGTGTGTTGAGGCGGAAGCGGTTGTGGTAGCATATGAGGAGTCTTTTGTTTCTGACTGAGGGAGTAGGCAGGGGAGGTTGGCGATTGGTTGGTGGTGGAAGGTGGAGGTGGTCTCTCATTAGCGGGAGTTGGTGAAGGCTCGATGGGCAGCGAGGCCTCTGATTGGTCCGTGGTAGTGGTGGTGGCTTGAGGCGGAGGTGGTCTCTCATTGGTGGATTCCGAAGTAGAGCAGGTGGCATCTGCAGATAACATATCTTGCAAGTCATCTGGTGCCTCGAAACTGACGATTTTCGGAATTTTATTCAAAATATCAGCTGAATGAGGACTTAGCTGGGAAGATGAATGATGGCATATTGTTGAGGGCAAGAATTTCATTTATAGATGTGTTGAAAGAACCCGGGTTTGCTGCATTATGCATGTGTGCATACATCATGCAGTAATAAAATTTTGTTGAGATATCGTTTGGTAGAGGAGAGGCGGTGGTTGGTGGAGGCTGCTGAGTGGCTTGTAAAATCTTGGTGGTTGTAGACTGAAGCTTGGCTATTGCAGCATAAGTAGGAAAGTTTCTTGTTGTCTTCTTTGAAAGGATCTCCTTACGAACAGGACATTTGGCTGCCAAAGTATGGTGGTCACTTACAATTGATGCAGGTGGGAGCAGAAGTAGTGGTGCAGGAACGAAGGTCGTGACCTTCAGACCCACAGGTGGAACAGATCTTGTTCTTCACATGACAGTCGGTAGTTGAATGATTGTAGGAGTAGCACGTCCAACAAGGTGTTATATGGTTGAAGCGTTCTGGCTCAATTTGTCGAGGGTTGATGAAGTAGTAGATGGCCAGGCCATCAGACAGCGCTCTGGCTGCCATGTGGACATCAAGAAACGTGATCTTGAGCATCGAGGAAGCGTTGGGGATCTTCACAACAGAGTCAATCTTGGCCCAGGTGTTTAGGTCTTCAAGTGATGACTTAATGTCCTCGGTAGACATGGTTGTGATGAACTTATCAAAGCGTTTCATGAACACAGACCGTTTAGCCAGCATATAAGGTGAGGTGGAGATGGTAAAGCCACGGTCGTCTAAGGTCTTTATTGCAGGAGGTGTGAGTACCTTGTCAGCTTCCTCATCTTCAATAAAGGTGACAATGAAAGCTTCTCTCAGAGAAGTAATTCTCGAGAACTTGACTCGCAGACATGTGTTGAGAGAAGACGCAAGTTCTAGCATCGTGGCGTCGTTGATAACAGCAGTCTTGGGTTTAATCCTCACACGATGGGACATCGTGGAGATGGTAGAGGTTTCCCTCCCCAACGGGGATTGTTGGGAGACTGTTTGATGAGAGTAGGAGCGTCTGTGACCGGACAGTGATAACAAGTTGCACGGACGTAAATGATGCTTGAGAAAAATTCAAAACAATGTTCACTACCATCCTTGATAATATTGCACCAGTTAAAGAGGTTAGGACTAAACGGAGAACTGAACCCTGGATGACTACTGAGATATTAGATAATATGAAATTCAGAGACTAGTTGCTAAAAAGATTTAAAGCAAACAGACAGGATATTGCAGCACTAAATGAATTCCGAAGGTGAAGAACAGAGTGCAGAGACTTATAAGAGGAGCAAAGGCAAGGCACTATTGCTCCAAAATTGAAGAGCATAAGCATAACCCCAGAAAGCTCTGGCAATAACTAAAACAGTTGGGGTATAGCCATAAGCCAGTAGATAGGTCTAACATAGTACTCACTATCGATAACGAGGTATGCCACGAAACATCTAAGGTGGCAAATTGTTTAAATTCCTACTTGACATCTGTTGCATCAACACTAGTAAGTAAACTACCAGCTGCATCAAATACCTTTAACACAGACTCAGATAAGTTTCAAACATACTATACCAATAAAGTGGCAAACCCAAACAGTTGTCAACTAGTAAGTGTATCTCATGTCTTTATTGAAAAAGAACTAAGCAACAGGAGACAATGGAAATAAATGGTATAAAATACCGACACAATGGAAATATAAACACAAATGCAGTATAATGTGATCCTTTATTGACAACGTTTCACCCACACAGTGGGCTTTTTCAAGTCACACACGGATCTACCTGGGGTTGGAAGGTACGAGAGTATTTATAGGCATGTTCAGAATGTTGAGGTCAGGTGGAGAATGCTGCATCTGATGATCTACCGGGTGGGTTATAGAGTCTTGGGTAGCTTGGCAGGGGTAATTGGACAAGTTGTGAGTAAAGTAAAAGGACACAAGTGCAACTAATTGACATTTATTGTGGCAACGTTTCGCTCTCCAGGAGCTTTATCAAGCCATTGTAATGGCTTGATAAAGCTCCTGGAGAGCGAAACGTTGCCACAATAAATGTCACATTAGTTGCACTTGTGTCCTTTTACTTTACATATTGTCGGTAATTCTACCAACTTTATTACAAGTTGTGAGTAGACCTTCTGCAGTGTTCTATGTTCTTATGTGGGATAGCGATGAAAAGTTTCTTGGCGAGTGGTTCAGCTATGTTATAGAAGCCATTGTTCTGTTGAAATTGTTGGTTGTAGAGATGAGCGATGATTCCAGGATTCTTCTGTATTGAGTGTTGTCTTAGTGGCTATAAGTTATTTTTTTTAAAAAG